TTAATTTGTATTTATTCAGCTGATTAAAAGTTTTTTTTTTTTTTTTTTTTTAAATTGTTTATTTGCGGGTAAAATGTAAAATTGTAATAACAAAATTGAGTTGTAGTCAAACAGAAAAAATGATCAAAGTAGACTCTTTTGAATAAATCCACTTTGCATATTTAAAAAAAGCTAGTATAAATTCAGGCTGAAAAAAAATTCAATTCTTAAGTGCCGAACATAATATGATTATTAAATCATATATCGTTCCAAAGGATAACAGCTCACTGATTTGGATCTTTCCTGAGAGTTTATAATTCAGGTGACTAGACAGTTTCCATTCAGCTAACTTTTTTACGCTACTCATTTCAATGAAATCCTTTTACGATGCTGTTGCTATAAACTGTGAGCTCCCCTGCAAAGATTTAAAATATGCTGCCTCAAAGGTGACTATGGACTCAATTGTGGCTCAAAAATAAACTGCTCGTCATGGAGCGGGCAAAGTTGGCTACGCTTTCAGCTGATTAAGAACAAATTTGATATAAATAAGTGGTGAAAACAGCTCGGCACAATTTAACGCTTTGTTGCGGTCAAGTAACTTTAGAATTCCAGTGAATGAGCTTGGGCAGCTAGCAGAAACGTACCATCGAATAAAAAGTAAATGATAACAAGTGCAGAGTAATGAAAGAAAAAGCATGAAGACGCGTCGACATGAAAGGGAATTCTTCAGCGTGTTTTTAAGCCGATTTGATTCTGCGGTGAGAGGAACCACAAAATGCTATAATAATTTTCAAGCTAATTTTTTTCTTTCCTTCTGCGTACAGTTTTGGCTCTACCAATGGCATTTTGATTAACTTGATGATGAGGCAGTCGTCGAAGGAGAGGATAATGACCTTGGATGCCATCCGTTTGCCTTGTGGGCTCAATCTGTGGGCAAATCTTCATCCTCGTCCCCAGTGTCATTTCCGATCTCCTGGCTGCGGTTAGATGGCCAACTTAATAAGCAAGCTAACCCCAAACCAAAGGTGGCTGAGAAGGCGGATTCCCGTTCAAGTTTGCGGCTCACTGCGCTTTTGGCAAAGCTCCAAAGAGCCAGGCCAACTTAATGCCAATATTTTACTCAACTTCTCAGGCCTTTAAGCGACCACTCTGCCGACACACCGGCCACGCCCACCAAGCCACTTAGGATTAGTGCTACACTTTTCAGCTGATTACCATGACGAGTGGCTTAATATTCAGCAGGGAAAGTGAAAGCTTGGATAAGAGTGCTAGAAAATATCCTCCTGGTTGAGCATTCAAAAATAGATTTCAAGCTGTAATTGGAAAAGTTTACATGGGAATCCCTAGCCCTAAAATTTGATTTGAAAATGAGATGATTTAAAATTTGTTATAAATATGAGTATGTAAAACTGAGCAAGCTGGATTATTCACAATATATTTTATATACTTTTTATTTTCGTGGGCCATACAAATCAATTGTTTCCGAACAGATCACCATTCTGTGGCTTTTAATCAAACTACTTACAATTTTTTCAAGAATCTTAACTAGTGTTTAAGTAGTAGTACTACCAAACTAAATAAATGTAATTGTGTTATAAACAATGAGTAACAAATAGTAATTAATTAGATCATCCCAATATGAAAATATTCAAACAAGCTGAAATTATTTCATTATTCAATATTAGCTTTACAAATCATACTTAATCGTTTTATTAGCGAATTCCTCTACCTACACAAAAGGAGCTCCGTAAGTATAATTCAAATTTCGTAACCGCCGTCTGACGGCTCATTAAAGCCAACTGCAATTAGTTTGGACCACTTACAGCTCCACCGACATGCAGGCAACTTTCACAACGCACTCCGGGTGGCAAGTGAATCAGTCAAAATCGATCGTCCCACCAATAACTGACCGCTGCCTTGATTGATTGATTGATTGATTGAAGGCACGCGCTGTAATTGGCGACGTGTTTGGGCCCCGCTAAAGCTTACACGTTTTTCGGCCTTTTAATATCTACTCTAATTTTTATTAGCATTTCGACCGCATCAACTTCCGCTGTTAGACGAATTTGGGATTTAATGAGCTGGCATTTGAATTTCAGTTTGGGGTTGAAGCGCTTGATTTATACGGCGAACCCGCATTGAAATGGAAATCGAAATTGTGCGACTTTATTCCGATTCAGTTGTTTTTTCGGACCTTGAAAACAATATAACAAACGCAGCGAACTGTGACGGGATCTCCACTGATCTCATTTATTCTGGGTGACAGTTAAATAAATTCTAGTTAACGGCTGCATTGAGAGTTGTGAGCTTGGGAATTAGCCAAAATGGAATCGTGTGTTTTCCCGTTCACCTTGGAGAGTGATTTAAGAAGCTTAAACTGTTATTGCCTAACTGTTTCAGGATCTGATTATTTATGTTCCCTGAGTCCCTGAGTTAAATCGATAATTGCTTTTAGTTCAACTCATTTAGTATTTATTCTGAATGCATATTTTTGTCTGCCTTCAAAGGATATGCAAATCAAGATGTCATTCCGTTCCTTTCAAAGTTCTTGAAAAGAGGCACTTGCATATTAAAAGTGACATCGGGGAGATGAATACAAAAATTAGTCTATCTGGAGAAAAGGGAAATTGAGCCATCCACCTGGGGATTTGCCTTCAAGGACACGTGCAAGGTCAGTGGGCAGGTGGGCTGGTGGGCCACAAACAGCATGCAGAATCGTTAGGCAGATAAAGAGCCATGAAAAATAGTCGAGCACGAGCCAACACGGAAACAAATAAAAATCAACAGGATTAAATATGCAGCTCTACGTGGCCCTCTCTTCTTTTCTATGTCCCCCCACCGGATTTTAGCCTTGTGCCCTGCTTTGGCCATGGAGTCTGCGGCCAATCTGTTACATTTTGTCATGGCTTCCATGCGGCCAGAGGCCCCTCCTCCTGGCCAGTCCACCTCCTCCGCTCGAGTGTCCTTCGCACGTTTTACCTTCAGCTGGGACACTGGGCCGTAAAAGCAACTGCCTCTGCTGTTTTTACACTCTCAGCCGGGCTCTAAAGTGGATTCAACAAGTCTGAGAGTGAATGGTAAGGATTCGACTATCAGATACCTCTAGCGTGGTCATGAAAATTTTACAAAGAATTTTTAACTAAATAAAACAGGAAGTAACTCAACGGCATAAACATACTTTTGTTTTATCGAAAGGAAAAATACATACTATTATAATTGTCTGCTATTAAATATCCCAAAATAAGAAAAACGAGTGGGTTGCAAAATTTGTTTTTAATTTTGTCGTAAAATTAAAACACACACAATATCCACTGATAGTTATCAAATGATTAATCCTTTTAGGAATTTAGAAAACTTGCCAATTTCAAAAACAAAATTTTAGAATAAAATTCATATATAATCTTGATTGTTCTAAAATACAATTTTATCTATAACCTTGAAAACCATCACACTTAAAACTCTTATAAATCTCTTGTAGTTTAATTCCTGTTCCAAAACCACTGTCTAATCCTGTCTAAAGTTACGTAGTACAGCATGTGCTTATACGTTTTCCCGCGGACATCTCCCTCTTCTCAGGCGGATTTAAAAATTTATTTCCCACGATTGTCGGAACCGGATGGCTAGAGTTTTGCACCACCAGAGACCAAATGAGTTGGCACGGCCTCCGCCATGTCATTTTCACTCTAAAGAAAGGAGATTCGGTGTAAAAAGCTCTGGGACCCAATGAAAAATTTAAACTTTTACAATTAAAGCAAGGGCGAATGGGAACTTGGGGCAGTTGCAACATGTGGCGCATAAATTGGTCCTTCAGCTCCCAACTTTGGATTGAAACCCTTCCTGCGCATTAATTCAATTTTAGCCACATGCTACATTTCCAAATCGAAAAGAGTACGTTTGCTAGCGGATCGACTTGCATAATTCAAACGCTTTCCCTCTTCACTTTTCCCCTACATTTTGCTAACCAAATTGAAAGCATCGTTCGCCACGTGGCAAGGTTAAAAGAGAGCAAGCTTCCAAAATTGTAGCATTTTTGCACTTTGCTACATAAGTGAATTATCCGTTTTGCGATATTCCTTGCGTACCACATGACGTATGAGTGATAAAAGGAGGGAGTAGCGAAAATAAATTGCATTTGCCGAATAGCTAGAGCAGAATAGCTGGGGTAAATTGAAAATTTTGTCACAGACTTAATTAAACTAGTCCGTTTCACCAGCCATGTTTGCAATAATAACAGCTAATTGAACAAAGCGAAAGGGAATATTGAGATTTTATCTAATTTAATTAAATCAATCTTGGTTCAACATTAAGCTTACCACCTTTAATTAAAGGTTGTAAAATATAGCTTTAGGGATTGTCCTTGTCTTTGTTATGCACAGACAATCAATTCGGGCATCCTTCAATAGCCTTTCAAATTTTCCTAATCAGTTTTCCTGTTCATCACTTGGTCACTTGGATGCACAATACCTCACCAATTATTAGGAAATCCGAAGCAAATGACGAGGGAAGAATTCCTATGTCGAAAATTCTATTGTTTGGTTTTCATTTGTCCTATTATGTCAAGGGTATTGCTCAATCTTTGGCATAAAAGACAACCAAGAGAAGGACAATGCAAGGGGCTCATAATTTAATGAAATTTTCGACAATGCAAGGATTAGGAGAGGCTTTAATATTCTCATCATCACGAAGCAAGTACATGCCATGCAGTAATTGTTTTAAATTCTTTTGTGGTCGCTTTAGGCTGTTCTGTGCTGTGGGCGTGGTTACGGGCAATTTAACACCTTGGCTGCGCATTAAATTAACGGAAAACCAAACCACAGCGCCGAACCATTTCGAATATCAATCATACGGCCCGTTGGCCAAGTGCAAAAATCGTTCAACGTGGCTGAACTCTGACCTGCCAGCCTGTGGCTTTCATTCCCGGCCTTAACTCCCAACCCATTTCCGACGCTGACGCTGACAGCATAATTTACAGTTTTCAGCGGATTAATCGGAAAATGTGCAAAATGCTCTCGGCTACTTACAATTTCAATTTACTTTCAGTTAGTCCTTGCCGAGGGAGAGAGTCCTGCAAGCAGACGAAGCAGAATTTACATAAATTTAATAAAAACGAATTAAATTGTACCAAAACCCGACGCTGCGGGCTGATGACAGGAAACATCGTCAAAGGCATTGTCAAAAGAGTATATAATGAAAATGTGGGATAAAATACTGAAATCAAGCGACCGTGAAATGTCTCAAATATTTCGAAAAGAGCCAACAGCATTTAAATAGTTGGCAAATATTAAATCGAATACGTTGTCAACTGAAAGTTGCCTCAACTGCAGTGTTCAACATCAATTGCAGTTACTCTTATTTCCGGAAAAACTGCAAAGCTCCTGTTGAAACCGGATTGTTGTCGAGTCACAGGTCGGAGTTTGCACAAATATTAGTTATGCTTGTGGTTGGCCAGGAAACGCACCTTTTTATCCAAGTTGCCACAAAAGAACACTTTCGAAATAAATCATGCAACCCACGCTGACCGGACAAGGACTTTTCGTTGGCTTTCGGCATTGTTGTGACAGCTGGTTTTCCTTTACCGCAGGAACACGTCCCAACAACACCTTTCCTAACCCGATTATCCTGGCGAAAATCCAGCCATGCAAATTATGTTGAATCCTTTGTGTGAATGCAATAAAGCACAGCACACTAGAATACAATTTTTGATTGTCCGCCTCTCGGACCATTTAACTTGATTATTTCTGTCTGGTTTTCGGGCACTGTTTGTAATTCACTCTCACCCAAAAGGGATATGAAGTCCCACCATCACAAATCAGATTGCCCGGTTTTCTTAATCGTATATAAGGCTTGACTTGCAAATTATTCCTAGCACTTTGTTGATTTAATCTGAATATTTTCCCAGTCTGGCATAACAAAAGCCGCTTTTAGTCTTGAACTCGGCTAAATTGCCTGAAGGAGCACTTCTAAAGGGAGATGATTTATGCCAACCCGCAAAGAGTTGAGCAGAGAAAAGGCTCTGATTTATGTAGCCAAGACCTCAAGGCGTCTGCTTACACAATCAAAATATTGCCAAGACAACAAATGAATGTCAATAAAGCCAATTCAGTGGTCTAATCATATTTGAAACAGAATACATCTTACAAACTAAACAATCAGGATGCAGTCAGCTTCCTCAACCCTTCTGTTATTTAATACTTTTTCGCCTTACGACTGACAAATTGCACAACATTTCTACGCCTTCAGTGTTTTAGGGGGAAATCGAGAAATTGGCTAAAGCAATTCCGCTAGCAACTTGTCTTCTTCGAGGGATTCGAGGACTTGGCCAAAGTCTTATGTCCTTTGTTGATTCCGCTTGCGGGCCAAGTTTTTGTTATACTCGGGGACCAAAGCAATCGCCATGTAAATGCATTTGGAAATAGCGAAAGGACGAGGGACGTGATAAATATCGAGAACAAAAAGCCACCGAACCCGTATGAATGCCATCGACCGAATGCACACTTTATTGTGCAACACAATCCTTTTTTCAATTTCACTCTTTCTTTTTCTTGAATTTTCAACAAGATGACAACAGGGGTTGTAAACTTGCAAATCTGGTCCACGTGCAGGATTCGAATATCCTAAAATACCCTATCAAATAAATGTCACTGACTTAAAGAACATTTTACAGTCGCTTTCTGGATAAAGACAGAAGAATTATCAAGAATACAATAAACTTATTTGTTATCAATTCCATTGGATTTTAATTTGTAAAAACTGCTTTAAAATTTTGTACAGCTTTTCAAGTATGCCTTAACTAATTTTAAATTCTCTGCCCAAGAAAAGTGTTGACGAGTCCTATGCAAGGTATTCAGTATTCCATTGCTGGCTCTGAGTTTTTACGAGAGGAAACAAAAGACAAGCCAGCAAGGACAATGCCAGCCTGCGGGCATTTGAGGGTTAACACTGATGAAGCAGACGAGGCTGTTGCATTGATGCATTGAGTAAGATGGCATTGGGGTGGCGGTCGGTTGAATGGCAAGGTCATTTCAGATGCCCCGCAAAACACGTAAAGCGAAAGTAAAACAAAGTACTCGAAATACCGACACTAGCTGCATAACAAAATATGTAATGCTTAGAACAAATAACATAGGGCGTGTCTTCGAACAACTCGGCGTATACATAACGTGTTTCCCCCAATTTTAGGCAAATAAGAAAGACAATCCCCCACTCAACATTAAGTAGAAAAAGTTTATGAAGGAAACTTTTCCAGACATTCAAGGGAGAAGTCTATTACAATGCCTAAACGATCTTATTTATCGTTGAATATCTTCTGGAAAGTTTCTGCCCAGGCATAACACAATTCTCAAAGGCAAATAATACAAGAAAATATTTGTTTTTCCTCTCCTTATTCTGAGAAAAAAAAATGAATGTGCCCATTAGGTTGTGCAAACAGACAGGTAGAGAAAAAAAATACCCACCTGCCTCTGGTATGTGTAACAATTTTGTCTGCCTGTCGTGTGAATTGAGACGGCAAACAGTGGCCACTATTGTTCGCCTAAATTATGCACTTGTCATTCTCATGGTATAGATTCCACTGCTCCCATCTTCTGTTTGCCAATGTTTTGTTTGCCTTGCTGTGCGAAGAACTGTGGTTGCTCACTTGGAAGAATTCACCAAGGAATTGTTTTACTTCGGAAATTTAAGGGGGACTTTGAAATATAACATTCGCATTTTATGGTCCAGAATAATTACTAACAAATCGCGTGAAGTTACAAATAAAATTCGAAACTTTTAAAAACTATGTTTTACATTATTTAACCAACAAATGGAATGTAAAGCATGCATTTAATATAATATACAAAATGTTAACTCTTTGTTACAGAATACCATCACCTAGTTGGTTAAGCAAAAACTATTTATTTTCAACACACACGCATTACTATGCATAGTTGAAGAGTAGAGTTACAAAGTTTCTGTGTCAAATTTTTTCCCATGAAAAAATGTTACAAAAGCTAAAACTTTACTTTCACGCTGCATGATTGCAGTTTTTTATTACATTTTCATTTTATTCCCTTAGAGATAGTATATTTTCATAAAATATCGCATTGCGCTTTCTCATCTTCAGCCAATTAAAGCGCCTCTCCTGCTCCGGTCATCGTCATGGTCATTATCCCACTATTCGGTCATTATACGGTGGGCCTGGCAGGACTCCCCGGGAACCTATTAACAAGCCTGGCCAACAAGCTCCACTTGTGGGTGCTCTCGGGGGGAATGGAGATGGAATGCGGGCAACAGGAATTCCTGTGTAGCAATCAGCAGATTGTATGACAGTCTGCCGTTCATTTCCCTATTTATTCAACAAGTTCCGCTGCCAGGCGGCCCGAAACTAAGGACACGGGACAGGATTCGTCCTGACAGGCCAAGGACTTGGGCGGCAGTTTTATGCGCTTATAATCACACATATTTCAGCTCTCGCCGGGCATCGATTTGTTTGGCATTTGCTGAATGCCTCAAGGATACGCCTAGTGACTTGTGATCCCTTATTTTAGTGGCATTTATTTTGTCGCACGTTATTCATGGTCTGTGTGCGGCTAGCGGAGGTCCCATAAAAGTCCTGTGAGCCCCTAAGTGCGTGTTTATTTGCTAAGGAAGGTCCTTTGCCAGTGTGTGTGTGTGTGTGCTTTTGGGTCTGGCTTAAAGGTATTTGCCGCTGCCGTACGTTATCGAAGGCATGCAGGCTGTGGCAAAGGAATTCCCGGCATCCTTGTAATTGGGGCAAGGGTTTCACCAGCTTGCCTGTGTGTGTGTGTATGACAAACTCATTTCATATTTATTAAATTTGCTGCGCTCGGGTTTTATTTTCATTTGGCACGTACCGAAAGTAAAATAAACATCGTGGCAAGTGTTGCTTTATATTTCTTTTTCAGTTTTGATACACTTCCTCGCAACGGCAAGCGGTTGAGCTTATTACGAATTTTCCCCAGGAAATGCGAAATGATATACGAATACTGTTCCCCCCTCAGCATTGTTTTAATTTAGGTGAAAATTCGTATTTCACCGTTGAAGGAATAAGAATTTCCTGGCACAAATGTAAAAACATGTTCCAAAAACTTTATAGCCAAGGGATTCCCCAGGCCAACAACTTGGCTCTGTCTTTTGTGGCTTAAACTACATGAATACGTAAATTGCGGCTGTGACTCCCTGCCACGCCCCCCTTGCCGCCCCCATCACAGACGAAACTATGTAATTAAAAACTTTTGCAAAGAGATTGCCGAGCCAAAAATGAGAGAGGGAAAAAATCTTGTTTGCATATTTCTGCGTCAGCCAGAAATAATAATTAAAAACAAACCAACAAAGCGCTGGCCAGCTATAACGACTGTTATTTAACCAATTTATTGTTGGCTCACATTGGTTTATTTCCGACCTGGGGGTTTTGGCAACTGCGTAAACAAAAAACGCACAAACAGGCGGTTGAAGTCTGTTAATTTGATCCCATACATTCGGGCACATAAATAACTATAGTTTGCAATGAATATGAATCGATCGGGGAATTGCTAAATGGGCCAATGAGTGGGTAACTAATGGAATTACTGGCCATATTCACCCAGTATTCGTTATGTTCTCAGGCAGATCAAGTCGCAATCACGGCTCTGAATTTTTGCTCTTGGCTTTTGCCTCTTCTTTTAGGGGCTCAGTTTTTTTTTTTTTTTTAGTTTTCTTGGCCAACTGTGAACTTTGCGGGCACTTTGTTGTTGTTGTTGTGGGGCAGCTGCTTTTGGCTTATTATTTTTGTTGTCTTGCGGTCAGTTCATTCAACTCGCAATTGGTTCTTTTTCTGGGGAGAAGGAGACTAGAGTTGGTTTACAAAAGAAGAATGCGCGGGAAAATCCCTTTATCATGCTATTGTCTGTTACACAATATTTATTTATTTACAAAAGCTGTTTCAATTTATTGCGTATCAACAAGCGTGCTTGTCATAAATCAAACTTTTGTCATATTTCCGCTATATTTTCCATAAAGAATATTCTTGGTAAATGTGTCAAAACAATGCACGAAATATTTGCATTCAAATAAATACAAAAAAAAAAC